ATGTCCTTTGATGTATACAACGTATCGTAACGTTGCCGTTATTTTCCAAACTTATTCGTCGTCACAATACAGTAATATCCGACTTACCCTGGTCTACAACACGAATGATTAGGTAAGATAATTAGCAACCCAGAAGGTATCCCCATCGTACTGATTAACTCTTCAACATTTTCCTCAGTGCAGTCAACACAAACACGACCTGTACCATTACATATGGCGGAGATTCCAGTCTACTTTCTTATTTGGCGCACACTGTTTGAGTACGCATGTTTCATCGTTACGGTATAAACCCTTGTCAAAGAGTGACTTTTCAAGAAAGGGAAGACCGTTCTAATTAAAAAAAATATAAAACGAAAAAATAAAACTAAAGCCACATGAGGAGCGGACCGAAAAATGAACAAAAAATATTTCATTCAACATAGTCGCTTCTCAATCATAAATCAGGGATTTAGTCACTCCTCAATCATAAATCAGTGATTTAGTCACTCCTCAATCATAAATCAGGGATTTAGTCACTCCTCAATCATAAACCAGGGATTTAGTCACTCCTCAATCATAAATCAGGGATTTAGTCACTCCTCAATCATAAATCAGGGATTTAGTCACTCCTCAATCATAAATCAGGGATTTAGTCACTCCTCAATCATAAATCAGGGATTTAGTCACTCCTCAATCATAAATCAGGGATTTAGTCACTCCTCAATCATAAACCAGGGATTTAGTCACTCCTCAATCATAAACCAGGGATTTAGTCACTACTCAATCATAAACCAGTCACTCCTCAATCATAAACCAGGGATTTAGTCACTCCTCAATCATAAACCAGGGATTTGGTCACTCCTCAATCATAAACCAGGGATTTAGTCACTCCTCAATCATAAACCAGGGATTTAGTCACTCCTCAATCATAAATCAGGGATTTAGTCACTCCTCAATCATAAATCAGGGATTTAGTCACTCCTCAATCATAAACCAGGGATTTAGTCACTCCTCAATCATAAATCAGGGATTTAGTCACTCCTCAATCATAAACCAGGGATTTAGTCACTCCTCAATCATAAACCAGGGATTTAGTCGCTTCTCAATCATAAACCAGGGATTTAGTCACTCCTCAATCATATATCAGGGATTTAGTCACTCCTCAATCATAAATCAGGGATTTAATCACTCCTCAATCATAAATCAGGGATTTAGTCACTCCTCAATCATAAATCAGGGATTTAGTCACTACTCAATCATAAACCAGGGATTTAGTCACTCCTCAATCATAAACCAGGGATTTAGTCACTACTCAATCATAAACCAGGAATTCAGTCACTCCTTAATCATAAATCAGGGATTTAGTCACCCCTCAATTATAAACTAGGGATTTAGTCACTACTCAATCATAAACCCGGAATTCAGTCACTCCTTAATCATAAATCAGGGATTTAGTCACTACTCAATCATAAACCAGGGATTTAGTCACTCCTCAATCATAAACCAGGGATATATATAAACTATCACTTAAGTATAACTTGATGTTTCCGGCTCCAACTTATCTATTTCTCTGAGGAAACTCTATAAGTTCCAGGACTTGATTAATGTTTACATCTGGTCAATGGTGCGTTACATTAAAAAAACATTTTTCTTAAATTTAGAATTAATCATCTAAATGCGTTTGTTTGTGCCATTGGTAGTGCTAAGGTGCTCCGAATGCAGCTTTAAGCGGTTTTGACCACCAAACCGGGTCGATTCGGATGTTTTCCATCTCGCATTATCAGAGATAAGGACAACTGACACAAGATCAGATAAAGATATGTATCATTTACAAGTTCGCAGATCCACTCCGTACCTCACCATAAGTTAGAGATGACCACAATCGCCGACAGTTGGGGTTACTGAAGTTCGGACACGACCAATGGTTACAGAATGTAATACTATGAGTGGTCTCGCTCCCTTGAGAGTCATTACCTTTCCATGTTTACTAACACGCTTTACTTCTTCTTTGCTCTTCACACTAATTGACACTTGAGGCGAGTAGAAATTGGTGAACGATATTGGTAAACTGGCGTGGAAAGTATCTACCACTATACAACAAACCACTTATAAAAATAAAACATCCTCCCTGTTTCCATGAATGCATGTCGACCCTGGACCATTGGTCTCAGAATAATACCACATTGGAGTGGTTAACACTTGTATGGTAGTATAACGAATACTTGTATGATAGTATAACGAATACTTGTATGATCGTATAACGAATAATTCTATGGTTATATAACGAAAGCTTGTATGGCAGTATAACGAATATTTGTATGGTAGTATAACGAAAACTTGTATGGTAGTATAACGAATATTTGTAAGGTAGTATAACGAAAACGTGTATGGTTATATAACGAAAACTTGTATGGTTATATAACGAAAACTTTTATGATAGTATAACGAATACTTGTATGGTTATATAACGAATACTTGTATGATCGTATAACGAAAATTTGTATGGTAGTATAACGAATACTTGTATGATAGTATAACGAATACTTGTATGGTTGTATAACGAATACTTGTATGGTTGTATAACGAAAACTTGTATGATCGCATAACGAATACTTCTATGGTTGTACTGTTAATAGACACGTGTATGGTTGTACTGTTAATAGATACGTATATGGTTGTGTATGGTTGTACTGTTAATGTATACGTGTATGGTTGTACTGTTAATAGATACGTGTATGGTTGTAATGTTAATAGACACGTGTATGGTTGTACTGTTAATAGATACGTATATGGTTGTACTGTTAATAGACATCTGTATGGTTGTAAAGTTAATAGATACGTGTATGGTTGTACTGTTAATGTATACGTGTATGGTTGTACTGTTAATAGATACGTGTATGGTTGTAATGTTAACAGACACGTGTATGGTTGTACTGTTAATAGATACGTATATGGTTGTACTGTTAATAGACACCTGTATGGTTGTACTGTTAATAGACACGTGTATGGTTGTACTGTTAATAGATACGTATATGGTTGTGTATGGTTGTACTGTTAATGTATACGTGTATGGTTGTACTGTTAATAGATACGTGTATGGTTGTAATGTTAATAGACACGTGTATGGTTGTACTGTTAATAGATACGTATATGGTTGTACTGTTAATAGACACCTGTATGGTTGTACTGTTAATAGATACGTGTATGGTTGTACTGTTAATGTATACGTGTATGGTTGTACTGTTAATAGACACGTGTATGGTTGTACTGTTAATAGATACGTGTATGGTTGTAATGTTAACAGACACGTGTATGGTTGTACTGTTAATAGATACGTATATGGTTGTACTGTTAATAGACACCTGTATGGTTGTACTGTTAATAGACACGTGTATGGTTGTACTGTTAATAGATACGTATATGGTTGTGTATGGTTGTACTGTTAATGTATACGTGTATGGTTGTACTGTTAATAGATACGTGTATGGTTGTAATGTTAATAGACACGTGTATGGTTGTACTGTTAATAGATACGTATATGGTTGTACTGTTAATAGACACCTGTATGGTTTTACTGTTAATAGATACGTGTATGGTTGTACTGTTAATGTATACGTGTATGGTTGTACTGTTAATAGACACGTGTATGGTTGTACTGTTAATAGACACGTGTATGGTTGTACTGTTAATAGATACGTGTATGGTTGTACTGTTAATAGACACGTGTATCGTTGTACTGTTAATAGATACGTGTATGGTTGTACTGTTAATGTATACGTGTATGGTTGTACTGTTAATGTGTACGTGTATGGTTGTATTGTTAATAGATACCTGTATGGTTGTACTGTTAATAGATACGTGTATGGTTGCACTTTTAAGTCACGCGCACCAAGACTGAATGCACCGATCGATCTTATTTTAGGAATGTACCTGAAAGCATGACAACATGTTCAGGAAATACAAACACCAAACGGTCAAATACAATATCGTAACGCAAATATGTACATAAACACACGCCATTTCGTAATGATATTGTCATCACGCACACTGCAAAATGGATGACTACTTCAGAATGGGAAAAACTAACCATGTATCCCCGCGACAATAGAGTACACTGCCGACTCATGAATCGGTATATAGTGATAAAGTATTGAAATTTTTTAACAATAGTCAGCTCTGGGAAAGTTTTCCTGTAATCAATTGAACCTGTGCTAGTTTCGTGTTATTGCCTGGTGCTGTGATCACCGTGTTAACAACACAAGTTACAATACTTCCGCTAATTATGCGGGCCACATGGAGAGTGGCCTTATCCCAGGTGAAGTGATCCGTGAACAGGTAAGGCTGCTGGGGATTCTCAGTACAACCTTAATTTGACGTCAGCGTGTCCTTAATCTGACGTAATAATGTAGCTTACGTGTTGTTGTTATTGTGGTGTTACAGCACTACTACGATGTACAAAGTACACGGGCCACATTTACGGTTTTCGTAATTTAGACTCGATCCGTAATACAACAGACACACTTACAAACAGGTCGCCATCAAATTAGTAATGTTAGTGTTCTCATGCACGAGCAAAAATCACAGCTATACATGTTTCTTCACTTGGACAAACTTATACTGATTATTTCACAGTCGAACTGAACTACACGTGCTGAAGAATTACCATTAGAGGAGTATTTCATGTGCTGAAGAATTACTACTATTAGAGGGGTATAACACGTGCTGAAGAATTACTTACCATTAGAGGGGTATAACACGTGCTGAAGAATTACTTACCATTAGAGGGGTATTACACGTGCAGAATTATTTACCATTAGAGGGGTATTGCACGTGCAGAACTAATTAACATTGGAGGGGTAGAGCACGTGCTGAACTACTCACCATTAGAGGAGTGTTACACGTGCTGATCTACTCACCATTAGAGGGGTATAACACATGCTGAACTACTCACCATTAGAGGGGTATAACACGTGCTGATCTACTCACCATTAGAGGGGTATAACACGTGCTGATCTACTCACCATTAGAGGGGTATAGCACGTGCTGAAAACCGCTGTAATCCCAATCAGAAGAACAAGCATCTGTAGCTCTGCGAACCTTTTGTTGTAGCCATTGTATTTCCTAGAATTTCCATTTAGAATTTTTTTCTTTCTCCAACTATTGAGAAGAGTGTACATGACGGTCATATTACACATAAATGTTGTAGATATGATGAGGAGCGCGAGGCCCGCGAACAGACAATTGAATCCCTTATGGATGGGCAATGGGGTATAGTAGTCAAAGAAACACCACGTGTACGGGTAGTGCAGCACGAACTCCCCAAACCCTGCCAAGGGCAGGGCAGCAATAATTGCTGCGAATATCCAACAGCACAACAAAAAAATTGTGGCGTGTTTCTTTGACAAACGACTTTGATACAAAAATGGATGTTTGATGCAGATGACCCGTTCTATAGACATTGCACACACAATCGTCATTGTAGCATATGCTGCAAACGCCATAGAGTATCCAAAATAGCTACACATCACCTGTCCTCCCTTCCATTTAAAGTCATTTAAATAAACCGTTATGACAACAGGAGAGACTAGAGTGGTCCCAATTAGGTCCGTGATTGTAAGCCCCGCGACAAGTCTATAGAAAATGGTTCTTCTTTGATCACGTCCCGACCTAAGTAACACAAAAATGGCCAAAAGGTTGCCTATCACACCTGTTCCGAACATAATCCCTGCACTCATTACAGAATTGTTCTTTTTAAGTTGAAAAGCGTCCGCGTCATACGAAGAATTGGTAATGTTATCCTCGACGGTATCGAAGGACGCTAGGAAAGTCTTTTTTGCAGTGATGTTACCCATGTTGAGATGCGAAGCAAAACTATCACTGTGAGTGTACTGGTGCTTACCGCTGCTATAGGTCGTCGAGAAGTACGGCAGCGTGGAGCTATCATACACATCGCTGTGTGCTGCTTGAGATCCCACAGCATGCATTCGTGTTGACCAATCCATGATATTTATAGAAATCCCCAGTAGAGGAAATTTACTAACACGATTTGCATCAAAGGTGAAATAATCTCTCTGTTAATGATTGTCATACGAGGTATCCTTAGAGACATAGCGCCTCATAAACATTGGGCAATACGATATAGTCGATAAAGAGCTCAATGGCGCGGACATATCATAAATCAGGAAATCAACATTATGGTTTTAACTAAACGATTCCAAACAGAGTCCATGGCGTTCTGGGGTGCAGCGTTCAATCACCTGAAATACAAAACAAACATATACTCATCAAAAACGACAAAACCCAGAGGTAATGTATAGTTATACAGCGTCAAAGATATCACTCTCAAAATCATTAGCTCAATAGAATAAACATGTACCTAGATTTACACTGAAAACACTTTACAGTAGGTACGTTGTACAAAGGTTTACACTGACAGTACTTTACAGTAGATACGATATACACAGATTTACACTGACTGACATCACATTTCAGTAAATACATTGTACACAGATTTACACTGACTGACATCACATTTCAGTAAATACACTGTACATAGATTTACACTGACTGACATCACATTTCAGTAAATACACTGTACATAGATTTACACTGACTGACATCTCATTTCAGTAAATACATTGTACACAGATTTACACTGACATCACATTAAAAAATACATTGTACAAAAGTTTACACAAGCTGACACCACATTTAAGTAAGTACATTGTAAAATATTTTCGCCGATTAAATTCAGTATATAACGCCTGCATCTGTTTTATCATACTTCCTATTTAATTTGAATTAAGTACAGGTTACTATGGTAACACTTTTTGAGGATTCGAATTACACGAGATTAAGCATTAAGTAAAATCAAGTAATTGTTTTCATGAAAGTTAGAAGATGTAAGTTAAACAGGCAAATCTTTAATGATATACAACTATGTTTGACTAGCCAGATATCGCTATACGATAGTTTGTATGATATGAGGTATACGTTTGTGGGGAGTTAAGAGTACATTGCAGGCGATATCTGGTCACGCTATTTCGCAATCCCTCGTTATAGTAAGTATTCATCGTTTGGCAGTTGACCTATTATAAACAAATGCGACTACTCCACAGGTAGATTTACCTAGGTATACTTAGAAAAAATACTTACCGTGATGAAACATTTAAGAACATATTACTAACAATCCTAGGGGGTGGAAAGACATACAAAGCAATCAAGGAGCACGCTACTTCGAGACATTTTCCACAAACGTGTTAAAACATTTCTGTTATTATATAAAGAACGTCTTCAAGAATTACTCTGTAAACAAGTATGATTGTTTACCAAACTGCACATTTCCATGTACCCGGTCTCCCACGACGTATACGGCAGACATCACTGACAGATAGAGGTCACAGTTAAATCACGGAATGACACACGTCAACCAGACAGTGTACACGAAAACGGACATAGTCTTCCTTCCTCTATGTCCTGTGTCTGTAGCATACGTGACGAATAAAGGTTACCATATCTATATCTTTATAAATAATGTGTTATATAGGTACTATTTATATCTACATAAATAATACCGTGTTATATAGGTACTATTTATATCTACATAAATAATACCGTGTTATATAGGTACTATTTATATCTACATAAATAAAACCGTGTTATATAGGTACTATTTATATCTACATAAATAAAACCGTGTTATATAGGTACTATTTATATCTACATAAATAATACAATGTTATATAGGTACTATTTACATCTTGTTATATAGGTACTATTTATACATAAAAAACCGTGTTATATAGGTACTATTTATATCTACATAAATAATACCTTGTTATATAGGTACTATTTATATCTACATAAATAAAACCGTGTTATATAGAAACATTTAAGTTCTATAACATTTTTATATAAATATAATCTAAAAATCAGTGATGATAAAATATATGATATACGGATACATTTCATTCGACGGATAGTAAAAAAATAGCGTTTTTTAAATTTAAAACACAACGTCACACATATGCATTTATATGCACATATCAATACTCATCGGTTAGATACAGATAACAGATAAAGATAAGCTACATCAACCGGAATAAATCTAACTATCCAAACTGTAAAATAAATCTGCTTAACTGACAAAATAAATCTACTTAACTGACAAAATAAATCTACTTAACTGACAAAATAAATCTGCTTAACTGACAAAATAAATCTACTTAACTGACAAAATAAATCTACTTAACTGACAAAATAAATCTGCTTAACTGACAAAGACAAAACTGACAATATAAATCTACTTAACTGACAAAATAAATCTGCTTAACTGACAAAATAAATCTACTTAACTGACTAAATAAATCTACTTAACTGACAAAATAAATCTGCTTAACTGACAAAATAAATCTACTTAACTGACAAAATAAATCTACTTAACTGACAAAATAAATCTACTTAACTGACAAAGTAAATCTGCTTAACTGACAAAATAAATCTGCTTAACTGACAAAATAAATCTACTTAACTGACAAAATAAATCTGCTTAACTGACAAAATAAATCTACATAACTGACAAAATAAATCTGCTTAACTGACAAAATAAATCTACTTAACTGACAAAATAAATCTACTTAACTGACTAAATAAATCTACTTAACTGACAAAATAAATCTACATAACTGACAAAATAAATCTACATAACTGACAAAATAAATCTACATAACTGACAAAATAAATCTACATAACTGACAAAATAAATCTACATAACTGACAAAATAAATCTACTTAACTGACTAAATAAATCTACCTACAACTTAATTGTACTACGTATCGGATGTTTGTGGTCTACGTGCGATCGATTTTCAGCGGTTAGTATGGAGGCTGTATAGCATGATCGAACCGTCCAATCTGCTCTCAACACAGTGACAATTGTCCCCCTGGACGTCATGTGTAAAGTAATAACAGGCCCATCTATAATTTATAATGCTCACATCACAGACTGATTAACAGTCAAACTTAATATCTTTTTCATTCTTTAAAAAAATGTTTTATTTGACTGTTGATATTTGGATACTGACAGGAAATGTATCATGTTCGATATTTCTTAATCGAATATACGTTTTATTAGAAAGTCTTTCCTTTGGACCTACCCCTATGTATTCAGTGTTGTTCTGTTCTGACATGGTACGTGTAGTTACCGCAAGCATTTTCACTTCCCTATAAAACCCCTTATTGTATGTTTACCTTATATAAGAATTATGTTTCAAACAGTCAGCAAACATGCATTGTAGCTCTTTCTCGTTTGATCTAACATTTCACAAGGTGTGGTTTAAATTTTTTTCTATGCAGACTTTTGTGTTACCTTAGACCCGGCAGCCGGTAAAGGTTTTGGATTTGTAAACATGCCCTTTGGTGTTATAAATAATTGTGCTAAGGTTTGCTGAGACAAATATCGGGACCGATAAAAAGTATTGACAAAAAGACATACTCATCGGACAATCTTACACGTACACCAAGCATAAAAACGACACATAAACAAATTTAGAGACAAATGTAAATCAAACACACCGTATGTCAACGGTGGATATCAAACATACCGTATGTCAACGGTGGAGATCAAACACACCGTATGTCAACGGTGGATATCAAACATACCATATGTCAATGGTGGATATCTAACATACCGTATGTCAATGGTGAATATCTAACACACCGTATGTCAACAGTGGATATCAAACACGCCGTATGTCAACGGTGGATATCTAACATACCGTATGTCAATGGTGGATATCAAACACACCGTATGTCAACGGTGGATATCAAACATACCTTATGTCAACGGTGAATATCAAACACACCGTATGTCAACGGTGGATATCAAGCATACTGTATGTCACGGTGGATATCAAACATACCGTATGTCACGGTGGATATGAAACATACCATATGTCAACGGTGGATATCTAACACACCGTATGTCACGATGAATATATAACACACCGTATGTCAACGGTGGATATCAAACATACTACCAAATATTTTAATATTTTGGTAGGGTTAAATAATGGGTTTAATTTGAAATGATGTGTAGCAATTAAGTTGGTTTCTTATCAATTTACTTTGAAGAAACCATATTGTAAGTGAATGCGGAAGTTGTACCTGGTCATTTTGATACATAAATTTTGTCGTCTAAAACACACTTGTTGTGTAACATCCATAGTGTAAGGCATCGAATATAGTTTTCAGTATTATTGACGTATTGGGTCCGGCGTTCTGACGAGGACATGTCCACAGGGAACTCGCGGCAATCGTATACCGTTTAGATTACACTTACACAATACACGGATAATGAGTATAATGTTGGAATATGGATTGTGGACGAGGCCGAGAGAAATGACACATTGGGATGACGTATCATATTCCATATTAAAGGGAATGTATGGCGTATTAAGAAAACTATTATACAACGTGTTGTATCTAAGGATGCACGTGCTCTTGTGTATAATGATAGTTTTAAAAAAATCACGCTCCATTATCGGGTATTTGGAAATGGCCTTATGTATGAACAAGAATGACCTTGTGGCCAGGAGGAACGTGACTATCACGTGTGGTACCAGGAGAATAGCACTGTACCGTTCACAGCGAACAGGAAGTCCAGAGGTGATGGAAGCGCCCCCTGGGGTAGTTGTAATCGCTGATGATACAACACAGCTAGAATAAGATTTTCTCTGTATCCGTAGCAATATAGTACTAGCAATAATCAGTCAGATTATCGGTCAGAAACAAAGTCTGACTCTTGCAAGGACGATCCAAACAATCCTCTGCATTGCAGATTTCCCGTGAACCTGTACACCGTGGCCGCAGGCTTGACCCAACAAGAGCTAACCAGAACTTATGACTCCAACTGAGCAACAATACCACAGGACTGCGAGTAAAATGTCAGAACGATGTAACACTGCTTATAGATATTGATTAGAGATAATTCACGGCTAAAGCTCGGTCAAAGATATCATGGTTTCCATACCTCATAAAATTATACGCACCTCGTGTAGGATTCATTATATAAGATATGTACTTTAACGAGTTTAAACTCGATACATGATGGCCAATTTTTGTGTTACATTATTGCGTAATCAGATTTCTAGGTTTTCACATTAAATGATAATCAATTGAATTTTTCCTGTGCATTTGGGGCTTGGTAAGGTTACATTTTTGATTCTCTACAGTAAAACGCCACCGTGCCTTTTTGCGAAAGCTCAGAGAAAATTACCGAAAAGTTGCCTGATCAATATCTAGTATATATTTATTACTCGAACGCACCCAGATCAGATCTCCGTCGCATATTTCTTTCGCAATATCTCTTTAAGCAGGGCAAAACTCATGAAATGCAAATGAATGACCATGAAGCAGTTTTATTCTCCTCACATTTCTATCGGTTTGAAATTAAATATTTCTTCCGTATTGCGAGTCACTGAATATGATGACATAAGACACGTGGCGATGTTGTCATGGTAACTACATGTCCATGTACCATTGGATGTCATCGCTACCTATCAGCGCTTTATTGATAGTTTCCATTTTTATCCTTGAATCGGGTTTCGAAGCAAAATTTTGTATGCCAGTGGTCTTGGTAAACTTCACAGATTCATAAAATGCGTCATTTTTTGTTTTGCTGAAGGACGAATGCCTACCCCCCCCCCCCCCCCCCCCCACCACACACACACACACAAACACACACACGCACACTTAACCACATCATTTACCAGCATTTTAACATTTTTCCTGGTCGCCTTCAAAAATACAACATTTTGGCACTTAGCAAAGCTGACGAGCCCCAGGAGGACAAAACAACTGTTAGTTGCAATTTAATGTTTAATTCATTGTTTGGCTCTACTGTATCTAACTCGTAATATCATTGAAATGTGATATTCACTTGTAGGTGATTTGAACACCCTTAATTATACATTATGCCCAAACAAACATGGCAACTTCCGTTGCAAGGTTCCAGGCCCGGGTATTTTGGGAACGGTCAATTTCGGTCGCAATTTGAAAGCGAGAGTTTATGCTGCATAACAAGCATCATGTGTAACATGAGACAAAACAGTTAACACATTTTAAATATTGATAAAAATACCCTATGTATGCAAAGTGCCCCTCATTATCCTACAGATCAAAATGACTGCTGTGTTTCTGAAACCCACCTACACATAAATCTGTCAATTTGTCGTGAGAGGCTACTTTTTGTCAATATGTAGCTATAAAACATCGTCATAAAACATAGATGAGATATACATGTCTCATATTCATTTTGTAGAAATGCACATAATTACTGTGGACTGAAATCAGCACATAAAATCTTATGAC